CATCCCGGCTCTCCTTGAGGGAACAGTAGAGGAAATACTAACGGATCATTATGCTCACTTTCCTCTGAGACATTTTGGAATCTAGTGGGTTCGTCGCGTACATAAATACGCATATTAGGAGTTGCTGGAGCGTCTGGCATTAAATTGTACACAGCTGCAACTTCTTCCACTCTAGGCAAGTCATATTGCCTTCTATTTATTCCACGAACATTTAATAATTCTAATGTTATATTTGGCATTTGTAAAGGGGGAGGTTCTACGTTATCACGAACGGCTTCTGCTCGAAGTCTGTCAATGGTTTGCCGTTCTAAATTGTAACGTTCTCGTAGATGCATATATGCCCTAGCGTAGGGATTTATATCTCTTAGCAATTGTTCCAAAAGAACAATTAATCGTCTGTCTAAGACTTGATTATTGTTTTGTGCTCGGGCATCGACGGCATCGTCTGGATCTAGAAAATAAATAGGTCCGTAGCGTTGCAACGGCTCATTAACATTTACATTGGAAATGTGGTGATATACTTTTCCTCTGACAGAAAAGACATATGGCCCCCTTGCGGGAAAGTCTCGTAGGTTTGCCTCTAAAGAAACAAACTGAAAACTATAATTATATAATAATATATACCTTCTGAAATGGGCAGACAAAGGATGTAAGCCTTGAAACAGAGCTTCTAAAACATCAGGCATAGGTGGTAAATTTTCTAAAACTACATTACCTTGTCGGCAGCATTTTGTATAGTGTCCACGACTTAGGCGTTCTACATGAAAATAAAAAGCAGAACAATGAATACACATTTGATCGAGTGGACCTAAATTGTAAGTTCCGCCTAGTACAATTCTTTCGCTAGCCAGAAGGTATGTCGGTAAGCGATTTTCGATATTCCGTAGACGTTCTATATCTTGTTGAATGTCTTCTCTCGTAGGAATATCAGCTATGGCGGCATCCATTTGATTTGCTGTTTGTCTCCGATTGTTAAATGGTAAATCAGCAAATTCATTTTGGAGGTCATCTAATAAAGATGGAGATAATTCAGGAATTATCTCATCACCTATGTTTTCTACATCTGGAAAGAAAATATTAAAATAAAAATAATGATTTATAAAGGCAAGTGACTTTGATGGTTATTTAAATTATGCTATGATATTTATTGGTATTAATAATAATGATGATACTTATATAAATTTATGAAAAAACTAACCAATTTCTATAACATCTTGAGGCATTGGTGGGGCTAAAATTGGTACAGGAGTGTTATTAGAATGTGTAGAAGCTGCAACAGGTGATGAAGGTCCTGGGATATTTTGTTCAATATGAGTATTGGCACCGTGGTGAATCATAACTTCCACAGTGACGATTTGAGGTGGTTCATCCTCAGAATCACTCGAAAACTTCCGTTTTAAAAGACGGGTAGGTGCTAAAAAATTGTTAATTTTGATTATAGTTTATATAATGTTTCTGATTTATAACATCAAAGTTTATTGGAAAATTATTAAATGAAATTATATATCAAATAAAAATATATTTCAAATGTCTGTTGTAATTTCTAGTGACGTAATAGTCTAATCATAGATTGATAAATTTGTATATGAAATAAAAAAAATCATTAGAATTGTTTACAAAAATGTAAGGTATTTTTGGATAATATATGAAAAATTTGCAAGGAGGTATATAGGTTCGAAGTGAAAAAGATATAACGATTAAAAATTTTTGAGAAATAAATTTTATTTAGTATGATGAGCTTCTGTTTAATAATATTGCATTCAATTAAAGAGGATTGTTTAGATTTGATAGAATCAAGAATAATCAAATAAATAAGTGAAAAAAAATCTAATTGTATTATTTTAAGGGAACAATTTATATTTAGTAGAATTATATAGGGTGGTTCACATTTAATTGATAGAACAGGTTAAAATAATTTTTTCTTAAATCGCATCGTTTCGGAGATAGAGAGTGTCGATATAGTTTTTTTTTCCGTTTTTCCCCTATTTCTACTACTCGTCCGATTGAGGTGAAATTCGGAACATAAACATTTCTTATGATCTTACATAAGCTTCTTAAGTTTGAACCACCTACTCCTCTTAGAAATGAATTTGGTGTTATTCCTTCCATACATTATTTCAAAACTTCAAAAAAATAAATTTTAATAAAATAGCTGCATACAACTTTTGTCTTATCAATTTTGAAATTTTTTTGTACAATTTTTTTTAATATTTGGTCATATTTATGAGATAAAATTTTATTTAACTTTATAGCAATCATAGCAACCCATGAGAAACAAACTGATGTTTGTGAAAATCATCATTAAAATTATTATTTCAAAAGTATATTTAGTGAAAGGAATGGTGAAAAATATCCTACTTCAAAGCCTATCTCTGAAAAGATGTGATTTAAGAAAAAGTTTATATCATGAATGAACATTATTTGAATTTGTTCTATCAATTTCTGAAGTTATCCAGATTGAAACCTGAATCATCCTGTATAATGGGGTTGGAAAATTTTGATCTGGAATCCTCTGAAAGTGCACAAAATTATATGTGAAGATAACCTACTTTAAACTATAATTTTATCAATTGAAAATCGTTTTCTGAAAATAGTGTCAGTCAGAAATTTTTTATATTTAAATTTACAATTTTTGGTCCTTCAATATATATACTTTACGCGAGAGTAGTTTACTTCATTATACATAATTTTTTTCTCGAAAGTCCTGTAAAAACAGGAAATGTGTATATATTTAAATGTATAGTTGTTTTGTTTAATATGGAATCCAGGGATTTTTTTCATTTGCATGAAAATTTATGTGAGAGTAGGTGACATAATTTTAAAAATGGAAAATTATTTCTTGAAAATTGTCCAAGTTATATTTTTTACCATTTAAATTTACAGTATTTACCCCTTTAATATTCCACAGACCTTTTGTAAATCCATGAAATTTTACATAAGGCTACTCTACTTCTTCATTCACAATTATTTCCCGAAATTTGTGAAAAAATTGTAGCTTTTTGTTTGATACTGATCTCTAGGGATTCTCTGAAAGTGCATAAAATTTTATGGAAGTAGCCTATATCGTAAACAATAATTTTGCCAATGGAAAATAGTATTTTGAAAATTGTTTCACTAATTTTTTTCCATTTAAATTCTACATTTTCTGCTTCCTTATTAAATCATAGAAGTTTTGCAAATTAATGAAACTTTCGCGAAAGTTGTCTAAAAGCTACATATTTTTCTACATGTATTTAAATTTGTTTTTTTGTTTGCTATGAACCTTAAGAATTCTTTGAAAGTGCATGAAATTTTAAGTGAGGGTAGTTTACATNTTCTACTATTCCATACGTAATGATATGGAATGTCGGTGTACAGATATTGTCGGGCGTCGGGGTCATTCTGATTTAACAGAAACCATGCCGTTAGTTGGGTAATTTCATTATTTTCTAATGCTTGTATTTCGAATCCAGGTTGGAAACGAACCATTTGCCTGGTAGGTAGATGAACGCAAAGCCGATAAACGGTGTGGGTATTTTTATGGGTTTCAAATTGATTGATATGCCAACAGGCCTCCGGAGGAGTCATATACCGTGCGTTCAAGTAGTTTTCTACCTCATTATAATTCGCTTGATTTTCTACGTTAATGCGAACTAATGCCAGATCTACACCTTTAAATAGGTATTTATATAAGTATTTAACGCATTGGGTAGTAGCGCAAGCCTCTATATTAATATGGCATTTATACTTTAATAGGATATAGGGATTGTAAGGAACTATCCAACGATTGTCTAAAATACAGTTTCTGTTATTAGCTCTAATCGTCAAAGTTCTGCCATTGTTTGGTCTTTTATAAGAGACTTGCCCTTTTTCTGATATTACTGTAAGTTCACTAAATTCTTTAGGATACTTTTTAGAACATTGGCCATTCACCATACAAACGGAGTCTGGGTTCAATTCTCCGCAAGGGCCGTGTACCATGAAAGAGGTTACAATTTCATACAGTTCCGGTTCTAATTGCGGATCTGGTATTTCTGCACTAATGAATGCATCAATTCTGCGAGGGTCTGTTAATTTATCTCCGTCTCTTAGAATAAGCAGATTATGACAATGGGGTAACCCTCTTTTTTGGAATTCTATAACGTAGAGGTTAGCTACGTGTACCCCAAAAATGTGCTTTTTCAGCATGTCATCTATCATTTCATTTAATTTGCACTGGAATACTCTATCCATGAGAGATGGGTGGTCACTCACAGTATAACCTGCGGGAATATTATCCACTATTTCTGACCATCGTGCATTGGTTGTCATCGTAATGAAAAGGCTGGGTATACCGAAGCGTCCAACAACTGCCATTGCGTCCTGAAAAAGTTGCTGTTGGTATCTCGGCGAGCCTATAAAAGTTGATGGTAAAATAACCATTCTACCCAACGTTGCGGCCTCGTCATTTTCATTGCCTTCTTGGACCCTACGATGCAGGTAATCGGCCAACCCAACATATTCTGTCACTCTTAACCTCTCTTGGTTGCGTAATATATATTTGAGACGATTATTTTCGATTTTGATATACGCAGTGACAGCAAATTGTTGTGTTAGTCTGCCTCCATATTTAAGTCTGGTATCGTTATTTCTAATTCCAAAACGATAGGCATAATATTCGCATAATGTTATATTGCGATTACCATTTCTGTGAGGCATTCCTATGTACCATCCCGGCTCTCCTTGAGGGAACAGTAGAGGAAATACTAACGGATCATTATGCTCACTTTCCTCTGAGACATTTTGGAATCTAGTGGGTTCGTCGCGTACATAAATACGCATATTAGGAGTTGCTGGAGCGTCTGGCATTAAATTGTACACAGCTGCAACTTCTTCCACTCTAGGCAAGTCATATTGCCTTCTATTTATTCCACGAACATTTAATAATTCTAATGTTATATTTGGCATTTGTAAAGGGGGAGGTTCTACGTTATCACGAACGGCTTCTGCTCGAAGTCTGTCAATGGTTTGCCGTTCTAAATTGTAACGTTCTCGTAGATGCATATATGCCCTAGCGTAGGGATTTATATCTCTTAGCAATTGTTCCAAAAGAACAATTAATCGTCTGTCTAAGACTTGATTATTGTTTTGTGCTCGGGCATCGACGGCATCGTCTGGATCTAGAAAATAAATAGGTCCGTAGCGTTGCAACGGCTCATTAACATTTACATTGGAAATGTGGTGATATACTTTTCCTCTGACAGAAAAGACATATGGCCCCCTTGCGGGAAAGTCTCGTAGGTTTGCCTCTAAAGAAACAAACTGAAAACTATAATTATATAATAATATATACCTTCTGAAATGGGCAGACAAAGGATGTAAGCCTTGAAACAGAGCTTCTAAAACATCAGGCATAGGTGGTAAATTTTCTAAAACTACATTACCTTGTCGGCAGCATTTTGTATAGTGTCCACGACTTAGGCGTTCTACATGAAAATAAAAAGCAGAACAATGAATACACATTTGATCGAGTGGACCTAAATTGTAAGTTCCGCCTAGTACAATTCTTTCGCTAGCCAGAAGGTATGTCGGTAAGCGATTTTCGATATTCCGTAGACGTTCTATATCTTGTTGAATGTCTTCTCTCGTAGGAATATCAGCTATGGCGGCATCCATTTGATTTGCTGTTTGTCTCCGATTGTTAAATGGTAAATCAGCAAATTCATTTTGGAGGTCATCTAATAAAGATGGAGATAATTCAGGAATTATCTCATCACCTATGTTTTCTACATCTGGAAAGAAAATATTAAAATAAAAATAATGATTTATAAAGGCAAGTGACTTTGATGGTTATTTAAATTATGCTATGATATTTATTGGTAATAATAATAATGATACTTATATAAATTTATGAAAAGACTAACCAATTTCTATAACATCTTGAGGCATTGGTGGGGCTAAAATTGGTACAGGAGTGTTATTAGAATGTGTAGAAGCTGCAACAGGTGATGAAGGTCCTGGGACATTTTGTTCAATATGAGTATTGGCACCGTGGTGAATCATAACTTCCACAGTGACGATTTGAGGTGGTTCATCCTCAGAATCACTCGAAAACTTCCGTTTTAACAGACGGGTAGGTGCTAAAAAATTGTTCATTTTATAACATTAAAATTTATTGGAAAATTATTAAATGAAATTATATATCAAATAATTGTCTAATTATAGATTGATACATTTGTATATGAAATAAAAAAAAATCATTAGAATTGTTTACAAAAATGTAAGGTATTATTGGATAATATTTGAAAAATTCGCAAGGAGGTATATAGGTTTCAAAGTGAAAAAGATATAACGATTAAAAATTTTTGAGAAATAAATTTTATTTAGTATGATGAGCTGTTTAATAATATTGCATTCAATTAAAGAGGATTCTTTAGATTTGATGGAATCAAGAATAATCAGATATATAAGCGAAAAAAATTGTAATTGTATTATTCTAAAGGAATAAAATAATAATTTGTATTTAGTAGAATTATATAGGGTGGTTCAGATTTAATCGATAGAACAGGTTAAAATAATGTTTATTCATGATATGAACTTGTTTTCTTAAATCGCATTGTTTCGGAGATAGAGAGCGTTGATATAGTTTTTCCGTTTTTCTCCTATTTCTACTACTCATCCGATTGAGGTGAAATTCGGAACATAAACACTTCTTATGATCTTACATAAGATTTTTAAGTTTGAACCACCTACTCCTCTTAGAAATGAATTTGGTGTGATTCCCTCCATACATTATTTCAAAACTTCAAAAAAATTAATTTTAATAAAACAGCTGCATACCACTTTTGTTTTGTCAATTTTGAAATTTTTTTGTACCGTTTTTTTTTAATATTTGGTCATATTTTTGAGATAAAATTTTATTTAACTTTGTAGCAATTATAGAAACCCATGAGAAACAAACTGATGTTTGTGAAAATCATCGTTAAAATTTTTATTTCAAAAGTATTTTGTGTTAAGAAATGGGAAAAAATATCGTACTTCAAAGCTCTCTAATCTCTGAAACGATGTGATTTAAGAAAAAGTTTATATCATGAATGGACATTATTCTAGTTTGTTTTATCAATTTCTGAAGTTGTCCAGATTGAAACCTGAATCATCCTGTATAATGGGGTTGGAAAATTTTGATCTAGGATCCTCTGAAACTGCACAAAATTATATGTGAAGATAGCTTACTTTAAACTATAATTTTATCAATTGAAAATCGTTTTCTGAAAATAGTGTCGAAGATAGAAATTTTTTTATTTAAATTTACAGTTTTTGGTCCTTCAATATATATATGGAACTTTACGTGAGAGTAGTTTACTTCATTATACATAAATTTTTTCTCGAAAGTCCTGTAAAATCAGGAAATGTGTATATATTTAAATGTATAGTTTTTTTTTGTTTAATATGGAATCCAGGGATTTTTTTATTTGCATGAAAATTTATGTGAGGGTAGGTGACATAATTTTAAAAATGGAAAATTATTTCTTGAAAATTGTGTTATATTTTTTTCCATTTAAATTTACAATATTTATCCCTTTAATATTGCACAGACCTTTTGTAAATTCATAAAATTTTACATAAGGCTACTCTATACTCATTCATAATTATTTCCCGAAACTTGTGAAAAAATTATAGCTTTTTGTTTGATACTGACCTCTAGGGATTCTCTGAAAGTGCATAAAATTTTATTAAGTAGTCCATATCCCAAACAATAATTTTGCCAATGGAAAGTAGTATTTTAAAATTTGTTTCACTAATTCTTTTACATTTAAATTCTACATTTTCTGCTTCCTTATTAAATCATAGAAGTTTTGCAAATTTATAAAACTTTCGCCAAAGTTGTCTAAAAGCTACATATTTTTCTATATTTAAATTTGTTTTTTTGTTTGCTATGAACCTTAAGAATTCTTTGAAAGTGCATGAAATTTTAAGTGAGGGTAGTTTACATCCCAAATTATAATTTTACAAATGTAAAAGTCGTTTTTTGAAAATTATCTTTTAGTATTACATAGACATTTTTTGCAAATCCATGAAATTTTATGTGAGGCTAATTTATTTCCCCATTCAAAATTCTTTCAGTAGAAATTGTCTAAAAGTTAAAAATTTTCCTATATATAAATTAATTTTTTTTTGCACGACATGGATTTCATACGATTTTTTGAAAATGTATGAAATTTTATGTGAGGGTAGTTTACATCTCATACTATAATTTTACAAATGGAAATAGTCGGTGGGCCACCAGTAACGCCTCGGTCGCTAGGGACCAAACGGCAAATCTTACAGAAACCTATTTAGGTGGGTAAGTGTAGGTTGATTATGTATAAATATGGAATATGGAATATGGAATATGTATAAAATGAAGGATAAAATTGTCTTTAAAAAGTAAAAAAATAAAAGTATTATATAATTGTAACTTTTTAAAAAATGCAAAATGTAAATATTTATCTTCATTGAAGGAACGTACTATCGAACTATGAATAAGAATTTTTAATTGAATGTATATAATTTTTATGCAATTTGTATGAAATGATTGGATGAATGAAAAGAAAGCAAATTATTGCTATAAAAACATATTAGATGTTTTATTAAAATTAAAAAGGTATAGGAGCATTTTGTGAAAAATATGAAATTAAGGAAAAATTAAGTAAATCACAGTTTGTTACATTAAAAATTACAGAAAAAAATTGAAATAAAAATGTTTTGATATTTCATGTAACTTGAGAGGAGGTAGTAAAAATTTGGATAAATATAAGAAATGATTAAACAGTATAAGGGATGATTGATTCAAAGGTTTTGAATCCTTTGTTTTTTGATAGGTTTTTTCAATAGAACGATTATTATCTATAGTCATTTTATAAATATTTTGTATGCATTTTGCAACCATAACACAAATAAAATATTAAGTACCTATATATATTTTTAATGTATAATATTTTATATAGTACTGGGCGGAAAATGTTAATACTGATTTCAAAATAAGAAGCAAACAGTGGAGCAGAAAATATATCGGTATTTTTATTTCTTACGGTAAACGCTATTGGTGTAAAAGAATTATTTTTTATTCGTCAAGTTATAAAATTGAATAATATTTGTACTTAGTGGAGAAAAGTTGCAAGTTAGTTAAATTGTTTTGAAATAGAAGTATCTTTCTTTTATATTTGGTCTTATTTTTGAGATATTCAATGAAATCCGTGACAATGTAGTGGCCCAGTTCCAAACTTAACTTTATAGCAAATAGTTTTTTGTTTGATATGGAATCCAGGGATTTTTTTATTTACATGAAAATTTATGTGAGGGTAGCTGACATCACAAACTATAATTTTACAAATGTAAAATTGGTTTTTGGAAATTATTTGAAAGTTAGTTTTTTTTCTATTTGAATTTACAGTTTTTGTCTTTTTAGTATTTCATAGACCTTTTTCAAATTCATGAAATTTTACGTGAGGGTAATCTAGTTCTCTTATTCAAAATTCTTTTGGTAGAAATTGTCTAAGTTAAAAATTTTTCTATATATAAATTAATTTTTTTTTGCTTGACAGATTTTTCATTTTTTGAAAATGTATGAAATTTTATGTGAAGGTAGTTTACATCCCATATTATAATTTTACCAATGGAAAATAGTTGGTGGGCCATCAGTAACGCCTCTGTCGCTAGGGACCAAACGGCAAATCTTATAGAAACCTGTTTAGGTGGGTAAGTAAGTGTAGGTTGATTATAGTTAAAATTTAAAAATATTTTGAAATGGAACATAGGTGAACTTTATTAAAAGTTCTGCATACCCAGGACTTATTGTATGCCAGATATTTCAATTTTAGTGAAAATGTAGGCTTTGTGTAGAATTTAATATTAGCAACAAAAAAATAATTTTAAGGAAGTATCTTTGGAGAGTGTATTTAAGATTGTTGAAGTTATAAATTATTATATTTTGTCGTCACTTAGTATTGTACACGGTGTTCAAAAAACTGCTTAATATTTTTTTCAACTATAAACAGCAATAACTTGGTTATTTTAAATGGGATACCCAGTATATTTTAATTTGGAAGTTATGAATTTTAAAACTCTTTCAAATGTATAGGTTCCCTATATCTATCTCTAACGGTATTGAAGACATTTGTGTCTTTTTGTTTGTATCGATTATTTTTGTAAAATGTATCCATGTTTTCATCGAGGTCTTTATCGAATTGGTTTGGGTTCTTCTTGACCTCTTTTTAAATATAAGGAGAAAAATGAGAATGAATTAAATGGCGCACCTTCAAATTTTTCATATTCAGTGAAAAATTATTTAAATCGAAAATTTAGTAATAAATGGGAAAGTAAGAATGGTCCATGTCAGAGGCCACCTAGGTATCCACACCTTAGCATAGTGGACTTCTTTGTTTCGGGCTATATAAAAAATCTTGCACACAGTGTTCCACCTACTACTACAATCACCCCAGATATTCTAAGGAATGTGAGGATATCATTTAAAGATAGAATAAGATGCTGTATTCAAGAGAATGGTTATCAATTCGATCATCAATTAAAATTTTTCTTTGTTTCTTCTAAAAGTAAAATTTCCTTTAATAAATATTTTTCATGTTGTTCCTAATTAATTACAACAAATATATTTATACAAAATTAATAACTTTTTATAATTTATTATTCTGCTTATAAAATAATATTTTTTATTGGAAAGCTTTCTTGAATATTGTTATGATTAACGCTTTCCCAATTCAATAAAGACCTCGATAAAGCTATGTTGATACATCTTACAAAAAAAATTCAATAAAAAAATGAAACGGCATAAATATCTCCAATACCGTTAGAGATAGGTATAAGGAACCCCATACATAGTTTGAAAGAGTTTTAAATTTCCTAACTTCCAAAGTAAAAATATACTGGGTGTCCCACTGAAAGTAACCAAGTTATTGCTGTTTAAAGTTGAGAGAAGTATCCAGCAGTGTTTTGAACATCTGTATAATATTAAGTGACGACAAATATAATAATTTATAACTTCAAGGGTCTAATATACAATCTCCAAAAATGCTTCTTTAAAATTATTTTTTTATTGCTAATATTAAATTTCTACGCTAAGCCTGCATTTTCACTAAAATTG